TGGCAGCAGCGAGGGGGAAGAGCCACTTTTCCCCTGTGCTGAGCAACAGCTCTTGTTCCATACTGCTGCTGCTGAGACTGGGTAGGCGAATCCAGAGCAGGTGTGGGTCATGTAGAGTCAGGGCTGTGCAGCGTGGGTCCCTACCAGAACTGTGGGGCTGGGGCCAGCAGCAGTGGCAGCAGCTGGAAGGAGCCGCTGCCACCTGGGCTGCCGAGAAAGGCAGTCCAGCTGCAGAGCCACCCCAGCCCTACTGTGTGCCCAGGGGGAGACACAACGTTGCACAGGTGGGTGGTGCAGAGCAGGCGCAGGGCGGGCTAGGTCAGGGCTATTCTCAGGGCTATGCTCAGGTTTTGGCTGATCTGCTCCAGTGGGGGTGAGTCTGGAGCAAGCACAGGGCAGGGCTGGGGCTGCTGGCAGTTGTGGGGAGGAGTTGCAGGGCTCCAGGCTGTTGTGGGGTGAGAACAGGTGCTGACCAGCTCAGGGAGGCATGCACAAGGGACTCCCATGCACATCTCACCATGTCCACAAACCCTCCCCCACAACCACACCCTCTGCTGCACACAATCACACACCTCAAAAATACCACCCCACCCCGACAAACACCACACTCCTCCCCACACACGCCCTCCCACACACACCTGCGCACCTCTGGGGGGAAGCCCCACTCATTACCACATGCGCACACCGCACCACACACATGTATCCACACCCCTCCACACACACCCCATAACCACCTGCCCATGCACACCCCCAACCACCCTTCCCCTCCACACACCCCACAACACCATACCCACCCAGCCACACCTCCGCACAAACACCTCCACATCGACACACACCCCTACACCCTCTCCCACACCCAACATCTACATGTCCACACACACACACCCACAGACCCCCCCCATCCCCCTACCCCCCACAATATACAAGAGTAAGACTTCGTTTTGAGCTATTAAGTTATTACCTATATATATACCACACAAACATACACCAATCAGGACAAAAATATACTTTAAAATAAAATTAAAATGTTATTGTCAGTGTTTGATTTTTAGTATATAATTTGTTTGGTTTTTTTCCAGTTCCAAGATGGCAAACCCCCTTCTCAAAAGGAGTACTTCTGGGGGCAAGGGGAGGGACTTCTGGTGGCAAAGATCAGAGGTTAGGGGCCAGGACTTCTGGTCCCAAGATGGCGACCAAGGGGCGAGCTACAGTTGTGGTCCTTGACAGCTCACCAAAACTCGTTAAATGGTCCTCCACCTGAAATAATTGCCCACTCCTGGTTTAGATTCTCATGGTGGAGAAGCAGCATTTGGACTGTCCTTCCCCTTAAAACAATATGGCCTCTCTAACTATGCTCCCTCTGCTTCTTAAGCTGAGAAATCTTCCTGATAGGTGACTGAAGAATTGATAACTGAACTAAAGTTTACTGTCCACTTAGGTGCAACCATCATGACTTTACTACATTGTTATGTGCAGCCAATTATATCCAAACCAGTAACACACACATATATGCATGTACACACTCATGCATTCACATGTGCATGCATGCACTTGATGTTTCAAGAGGACCATTTTCACAAAGCTGAAAACAATTAGGCTGGAGGACAGAATGTAATCAAAAAATGTGAATGGTAATTGGGAACTGCTTAAGAACATTTTACTAGGGACTAGCTCCCCAAGGGAGACTTAGATTTCCTTATAGGTGCTCTGCCACCTACTACAATTTAATGCCTTGAGGTAGGCTCCCTATTCAATACATTTGGAGAGTTAGGGTATATTTTCACTATTTCCCTGGTTCTGTTAGGACACCTTCTCTTGAGCTTGCCCAACTGATCTGCACCTGCTGGTATACACAGAACCTGGAAACTCATCAGTGGAGCTGTGCAGGAGTACCCCTCCTGGCCATTCTTAAGACCTCTATATCCAATGTGTTTTTAGAGCAAATTGATTACCACATTTCTGGCTGTGGGCACTGAAACCCAATATCATTCCCTGCTTTTTCTTTCTTTCTTTCCTTTAAAAAGAAAGTAGTTGTCACTGCTTTTTCTAAGAGGCCTTATCCGACTGATCTGTTTTAAGTGTTCTCTGAATACATGTATCAAATTGGTCCTCTTAGGGGACTAAGCTTCTGGATTCCCAAGGGACTTAGGTAGGAAAGGGAAAAAATCAAAAGGAAGCTGGATACAATCTTGTACCTACAAGTAAGTTACAACTTACTGGGCATGCCTACATGAAATGCAATGTCACTGTAGCAATGTGCTATGGTAACGCAGTGTCAGCAGGCACAAAATGTGATGCTGCAGCTATGATACCATAGCACCATGCTCTCTTGCTACAGTGCACTGCTACAGTGATGTAGTGGCTAAAAATAACCATGCACTGCTGGCATGGTGTGGTAACAATGGTGCCACAGGGGCAGGTGTAGATGCGCCCACTGTAATTCCTAGCCATATTATAGACAAGGTTCTTGGGTAAATCTGATATCTTTTATTAGACCAACTCAAATAGTTGAAAAAAATCTTCCTAGCAAGCTTTCAGGTTTAAATACTAGGGTTATGCAAAATCTCGATGGGTGTTTTGTTTCAAAGCTGTTTGGCTTTGAAACAGGTTTGAAAAAAAATGAGGGCACTTGAAATGTTTCAAAAGTTTCAAAATGTTTCGACTTGCTTGCAGCTAACAGAAACTAAGGTAGGAAGAAGAGGGGGAAAGGACTGCTCTGATATTGACATCTAGCTCCCAGTTTGATTCCCCAGCTCTCTGATTGCTTCCACCAGCTCTCTCATCATTTTCAAAGCTCTTCCCGGGCAGTGCATGGGAAGAGTTGAGGAAATGATCAGAGAGCTGGAGGAAGTGATCAAGGAGCTGGGGAATCAAACTGGGAGCTCGGTGAAGGCTGCACCAGGCAGACTCAGGTGCTGGCACTGGCCCCAGTCAGCAGCAGCAGCCTGCTGTCATTCCACATGCAGATGCGGGGGCCTGTGCCCCCTGGGAAGAGTCTGGCACAGCTCTGCAGCCCTCCTAGGGGGGCATGACCCCTGGATCTGCATGCGGGATGACAGCAGGCTGCTGCTGCTGACAAGTGATATGAGTTTTGTTTTGAACAGTTTGAGGTGCAGTTTCCCAGAACCCCCTGCACCTATCACCTTGAACTTTGGCAGGCGTCCTGCCCTTAGAAGGGGCTACAATCCAAATTGGGCAAGAAATGACAAAGATATAGACATTTTTGTGATTCCCCATTATAGCCTATGGGCGAAACGTCAAAACACGTTGAAACCATGTCAAAATAGCAAAACGGTTTTGATGAAACAAAATGGAACAGTGCTTCAGAACATCAAAACAAAAAAATGTTCCTTTGAAATGGCAAAACCGAAGTCGAAATGAAATGGTGCTGTTTCACGTAGCCCTATTAAATACCATTTGTCAGGCTGAGAAAGCACCCTGTCCCTGTCCCATTCCCTCCCTCACCGTGTGAGGTTATTTCTATCTTTCCATCCAGGAAGAGCGCGCACCAACTGCAGATGCTTCCTCACCCTGAAGAAGGGTATTTAAATCCAAAAGCTTGCTAAGAAGAATTTTTCCAAATATCTGAGTTGATCTAATAAATGATATCAGATTTACCCAAAGAACCTTTACGTTAGGAATAACGGCCACAAGTTGACTGAGAGTAGGTTCAGGCTAGACATCAGGAAGCACTACTTTACAGTCAGGGCAGCTAGGATCTGGACCCAACTTCCAAGGGAAGTGGTGCTCGCTCCTACCCTGGGGGTCTTCAAAAGGAGGGTAGATAATCACCTAGCCGGGGTCATTTGATCCCAGCACTCCCTCCTGCCATGGCAGGGGGCCGGACTTGATGATCTGCTCAGGTCCCTTCCGACCCTACCTACTATGAAACTTTGTCTATGTCCTTAAACCAACACAGCTACAACCTACACCCCTGTAGCCATATTGTATGGTGATGTACTACATGTATCCTTAGCAAGTGAGATATAACCATTTATACACATAGTAATTCAGAACCAGTAAAGGATTTAGGTCTGATTCAAATACATTTGTAGAAGCCTATGTGTAGGCTTCTATTTATGCCCCTCGCCTATATCCTTCAATTACCTGAAGGGTGGTTTCAAAGAGGATGGAGCTAGACTGTTTTCAGTGGTGGCAGAAAACAGAACAAAGAGCAATGATCTCAAGTTTCAGCAAGAGAAGTTTAGGTTATATATAAGGAATAACTTTCTCACTAGGAGGGTAGTAAGACCTGGCTAGACAAAGCCTTGGCTGGAACGATATAGTTGGGGCTGGTTCTGCTTTGAGCAGAAAGTTGGACTAGATGAACTTGGGTATAAATACCCTTCTTCAGGCTGAGGAAGCATCTGAAGTTGGTGTATGCTCTTCCTGCTATGTTTCTAAACAACCGCCTAACATAAAATGAACAGGGAGTCCAGGAAACAGGGAAGAAGGAGTGTAACTATGTAGGTTAGCAGGGGTGCGATAAAGATCTTTTGATCAGCCGATACTAATAGCCAATTATTAACCAGTCATATCGGCCGATAATGATCTGATTGCCAATATGCAGACTGGCAGCTTGGAGAGCAGCGTCCAGCTAGTAAGTCTGTGGGGGAGAAGGAGCGTGGGGCAGATCAAGGCCACCACGGTGAGGGAGGGAGTGGGACAGGGACAGGATATGGAGGTCGGGCAGGGTGGGGGACGGAGCTATGGGCAGCTCATCCTGAGGTCATGGGGGGCGGCTACTGTGTGCACTCCCAGGGAAGCATGGGGGGCATGTGCCCCCCTGGATTGGTGCATGGGGTGAGGGCAGGTTGTTCACTGTGGACTTGGGGCCATGGGCTGTGCCAGCCTCTTCCTGATGAGGGGGCTGGGCCAGGGCTGCATTTGGGGCAAGTGGCAGTGGCACTGGGAGGGGGGGGCTACAGCAAATTTTGGGGTGACTGTAGCCCACCCCATAGCCACCCCACCCAGCAACACTACTCACCCCACCCCAACAGCAGCTTCGGCCCAGCCCCTGCTCTGGGAAGAGGCTGGCATTGCCCCTAGCTCCAAGCCTACAGTGGGGAGCCTGCCTCAAGCACAAATCTGGGGGGGCACATGCCCCCTATGCCTCTCCTGGGGTTCATGCAGTGGTGGGTATCTGCCCCCCTAAGCCTCCTGGACAAGCTGCCTGTAGCTCCATCCCGTGCCCTGCCCCACCCTGACTAGGCAGTGCCTGCCCCAGTCCCTGCCCCACTGTCTCCTTCACCATGGGGGCCTGGATCTGCCCCCCCCATTCCCCTTCTCTCCCCCACACCCTTCCCTCCACCACTGACTTACTGGGCAGACACTGCTCTCCAAGCTGATGGACTGCATTCCTGGCTGTGTACATGCTGTGGCTGCACGCATGTATGCAGCATTCACTGGTGTCATTATAAGCTACATCAGAAAAAAAAGGTCAGTTGCCGATAATGTCAATTTTTCTTTTATTGGTGCCAATCTGATATGGATCGATATATCAGTGCACCTCTATAGATTAGTAGTACAAATGGAGTGCTGTAGCCATGATGGTCCAGGAAATGTCCAAGGCAAGGATTTTTTGTGAGGAAAGGATCTTTTATTGGACTAACCATTTAGCTGGAAGCTAGCCTGTGTCTGCTTCTCTCTCACACCAGAAGAGCACTTGGTGCCCAAAAACTGATCCAGCAGTTCTCCCAACTACACAGTTGGCTCAATAAAAGATATCACAAAGAATCCTTGCTTATGTAGGTTAGTAGCTTGTTTAACGGGAGCAATCCCTTGGGATGCTTCATCCGCCCCCACCATCTCAGCATTCATGAGCCGCACCTGGTACCTCGAGGTATGTAGAAAAAACATATAAAGTTGTGTCTATGGTTAAATCGCTGATTCTCCAAATCAAAATAAAATCTTCAGATTCAGATTCAGCTGAATCAAATTGGGATAGTGATCCAAATTAGCAAATCAAACCACTGTCCCCCAAATCGGGCCGAATCCAAATCTGAATTGAATATTGCCTGCTTCGCACATCCCTCTATAATATGCAGCACTCCAGGTATTCTATACAGTTCTGCAGCATTTAAGACAGCCAGGGAAAAGGCTGCTAGAACTCAGAGAGATCTCCGTAGCTATCTACTGTATTGGATGCTTATCTTGCTGGGATCCTATGACCACAACTGACTTCCTGCCCTTTGGGTGGGGGGCTGGACTCGATGATCTTCCAAGGTCCCTTCCAGCCCTAATGTCAATGAAATCTATGAAATTCCCTAGGCCTCTATACCTCCTAGAACAGACCAAGATTGGAATGATTTAAAGACACTATAGCAACTTCTCCTGGGCTGTGAGTTCTAAGATAAGCCTATTAGAGGCACAGCACATAATCTTACCCCAAATCTTAATACATTTTGAAAACCTACTGAACAGTTACAACCCCCACTACAGTCACGGGGGGTTATAGATCCTCAGGATTTAGTCTAAAATAAGAATGGAATTGTGAAAAACTATGTTAAAAATTCAATATGGGTTCTGCACATTTTTTGTAACCGTACCATGTTAATGCTATTTTGGAATAATTCAGAATTTCAGGGATGTACAGTTAGGGAACAACAAATATTATGGTGAATTAAAGAAAATACCAATTTTTAAAACTGATAAGCCACCACTTAGGTGCTTCTACATGTGCAATTAATGCAACTGAATAAACTCTGGTGCAATTTGAGCCAGAGTAAACCAATCCAGATGTCACTGTCTACACTATGTTTAAGCGCAGTAATTTACTCTGCTGCCAGACAGTACTTGTATCTGACAGGACTATCCAACAGTGCAGTAAATTAGTCTACCAGTCTAATTGCCATGCACGTGTAGACAGCAATGCTTTTCTGAGCAGCAAATGTGTCTACTGCACAGTAAAGATCACATGTAGATGTGTCTCTTGAGTATCAATCTGTGATGCTTCCTCAGTTTTCTGTGAACTAAAATTGTTACAGTCTTTTAAAAATATAAGTTGAATGCCATGTAATGGAGATGAATCTTTTATGACATATACACCCATTAATCTTGCACGATGAGGTGAAGAACTGTAAGTAAAGGGCACAATAAGGGCTTTAGAAAAGGACACAAACAAAGGAAAAGCAGCTACAGATACTTGACTGCAGCACTGTAACCTACCCTCACTGTTACTCCAGACCATTTAAGAAAATGTTAAAAACCCTAAGAAATACACAATATAAGATAAATATACAAGCTGTTTTTCTTTAAATATAAAGTTGCACCAATTGCAATAATTCCTTCTCATTGCTTATTGTTATCTCTCCCTCCTTCTCTAGCATCCCCAGCCACATTATTCATTACCTTATCTGTCTAATTTAGATTGGAAGGCTCCCTTGGACATGACTTGTTCACACACTAAATTTACCATACATAGCAGCAGTGATCTTATGTACACGCTGCTGTTCCAAACAAGGTCTTCACTTAAACTGTAAGCATCCACATGGCACTGCCGATGAGCTAATAAACGCTGTGGAAAGACACTGGCAATTACCTAGCCTTTGTGCTAGTTAGCTTGCCTGAAGTGCCATGTGGAAACAAATATACTGTTTCCTGTGTAGGAAGTAGCCCACACAGCGCTGTAAATTGTACTCTGGGGCTACATGCCAAATTACTATTATATTATTAATAATAGATTTGTTGCACAATACCGTGTCATAATCATATGCCTGACCTGCTGCATGTAAAAAGGACTGAATAGCAACATAGGTCACGGGGGGAGAAGTCTGTGGAAAAAGAAAGGTTTCAAAACATATCCCTATCATCACTCCATTGGCCAAAAAAAAAAAAAATAACAACTATCACCAGAAATCTTAAGGCAAATTTAGTTCTTCAAGGCAGAAATAACTTGTGCATAGCAACATACAAACCCCTTTACACAGTTAAAACATTTCTGTTGACTCCCCATACATGCAAGACATCTGTAATTATATCTGTGCTGGTTTAGAATATCAAAGAATTAGAGAAGGTAGGTTCCATGATTACGTTGCTCTCAAACACCTTCCCAACCCACATTTTGTAATAGGTTGACTCACTGCAGCCTTCTCCTCTGTGATTTTTCTACAGATCAAGGCATTTTAGCTTAGCCATGTTGTGATGTTCTAAACCATGTATTTGGCATGCCTATCAAAGAGGATGATACATTGCAGTTTACTGATTTCTGACACAGGTTTGTGCAAATGTCACCTCCCTTTGCAGTTCTTCATGAAAAGGGAGAAGAATACACTCAAACACAATTGTAAACCAATCATTTGATTTTTTAGAAGTAGAGTTGTGCCTACCTAGACTGACTCTTGCTTGCAGATGACATTACAGGAGAGGAAACTGGTCTCACTGGTGAAGGTGCTGCAATTGCTAAGTTAGGAGATCCAGATGCAGTCAGGGACTGAGCTCTTCTAGAGGGCAGTGTGTTAGAGGTAGAGGCATTAATCATGATATTTTGATCTAAGAAGGAAAATAATATTTTCCATCATTAGCATCGCTTCTGTCTACATAATGACAAGGCTTTTCCCAGCCAACAACATAACTTAAACCAACTCTAAAACATTTCTGTATCTGTTCTGTACCACTCAAAATATATATGTTGAACTGCATTTGCATGAGTATTTGATTTTGTTAGCAACATAGGGCTCCTACAGATGTGTGGGGAGACTGCTCAAATGTGTTGGAAATCCAGTGTGTCAGCATGGAAATTGATGCGCTCCGGCAGCCTTCTGTATCATGTGTATCAGCAACCCCACGTGTCCCCATGCTGAAAAAATGGTGGTGTGGTGCTTTGAAATAAAACATGTTTGATGAGCTTTAGTTCAAAGTTCCCCACCGACATTTTTTCAGTGCAGGGATGCTGATACACGTGATGCGCATACGTTTTTCATTAGCGTGGCTCACTAACTAAAGCGCCCAGCACTGCATCCAGGAGCATGTGTAAAAATGCCTATAAAGTTCATAATGATATTGTATATTATTGCAATATTTATACAATGTGACTCTGTAACCCAGTGAAGCGGGTACTTCTCTGCTGATGGGTTGAGGGGGGGAGGCGGGGGGCGGGGAACTCTTGGCTGCCAGGGTAATTTCTGTATCAAAAAACATTAAAACAAAACCTTAAAAATCTCTATTAATTCGCCCATATTCATTACCTAATTCTTCTTGCTCTTCAATGTCTTGAGGATCTGAACCACTTCTATTACGATATTCTTTATAACTTTTTGTCTTACGAGTTGCCATCTCATCATCTGTGGCATCTCCACTTTCACCCTGGAAACAGCCAACACCATGATAAATATCTTAAAAATGTTACAAATTTTATCCAAATCATTTTTGAGAATTATAAAGGTGAGACCTGAATCAGGTAAATACTAGTAATGACTACTGTAATGCCAACGGTTGCATCTTAAGTGAAACTATTCCCGGAGAAAAAAGATCATTTAACTATCATCAAGGTTACATAAAGGAGTGTAGGAATATTAAATGTCACCACAATGCAACATCACATAACAACCATAATTGTCTGGAGTGGTCTATTTGGTTTTGTACTAGTCTACCAGCACAAAGAAGAGCTGAAAAGGATGGATTTTGAGGACTTCTCTTCCCTAAAAAAGAATAATTAAATAGTATAGTACTGCCACAGAAGTTCTTATACAATCCCTTCTCCAGGCAACTGGTGTAAGCATTTGTGTCCAGGAAGAAAGGACAGTGGCTAGGGAAATTTCTATGCCCCTAACTGTCAGAACAAGAGAAAAGTGCATGCAAACTCCAGAGAGCTTGTCTATAGGCCTTGCATGTTACCTATTCACTAGTCATCATCATCATCATCACCACCATCATTTTATTATTTATTTTTTTATGCTGAGATAGTATTTATTTAGGAATAGCTTGTTTTTCCTAACAAAGGTTATTCCAAGGTCTTGGGCAGTAGCTAGTACAGAGGGGCACAACCTGTTTGAAATCTTTGGTACAATGTCAAGGAACATAACTTGAAATTAAAGTTTTACATTTATAGCACTGCACTTTTTTATCTGGTTCAGAATACATGGTTAGCCATACAATAATTATACAGATAAAAAGTTTAAAATATTTAAGCAACAAGATTGATATATGAATAATAAATTATTCTACCCTCATGAGTACTTTCTTCTTTTTCTTTGCTGTGGTTATCCCCAAAGTGTTGTTTCTCTGCATATTGGGTTTCTCAGTGCTTTTTGTAAGTCCTGTACTTGTGTTTCTTGCACTCCAGCGCCTACCTCCAAACAGCTCTACAGCTTGGGCCAAGGTTGGGCCTTCAAACCTGCCATCCTCCTACAAAAATTCTCAATGTTATAAAACAAAGGCTAGATAAATCACTATCAAAGAGCCCAAACATTTTTTTTTGGTGTAGGTACTATGAAGTAATGAAAGACAGTACATAATAGAAAGGCAACTTTTATTGATTGTACAAATATAATCCATTTTTATAAGTTAGTAATGATTAATAATTACTAAATATAATTAGTTATTAGTAAACTCTTTTACTTATTATTCTTTTTCCCCTACCTCTCACTGCTCAGTATTTCAGGTCCTGTGTATGTATGGACATTGTTTTGTGTTTAGCTGAATACTAACCCTGGTGGCCTAATCATATATATAATTTTAGAGTGCCAAAAACATACCAGCTGAAACCTTTGATGAAATATAATATCAAAAGTTACATTTTCCATTTAATTACATTAGCTTTATGCTACTGTGCCAATGCCAACTTCAGTGGTGTTACATAACACAAAATCAGGTCTTTTATCTTTAGTCTTAAGCCACCTGTAACAAATACTAATATGCATATTGACAGACTGTTGGATCATAGAAACTTCCATTTAGTTATCACAATACATTTTACCTGGTAAAGGCTGACATACTGTTTCCGTAGCCACTGCAATCTCTGATCAGGAAATTTCCTCATTTTTCTTACAGCTTTTGTTAATTCCAGCAATCCATCATATAGTATCTTGGCAGTATATTTGGGAGCCACAAAGTGCAGCAACTTATTATCAGTAGTCTGAAGTCCATACAGAAGTGTTACGCCATTCTCTTCAAGGGACATACCACAAAGTTTATTCTGAACACACATAGTGTGCATATCAATGCCAGGATGTCCCATGTACACAGCCTTTATTAAAAACACGTCCAGGGAACCTTCTACCAGTGCATTTAATCCAGTATTGCCAAGAAACTGGAATTTACCAAGGTCTGCAGTGCTAACTGGAATGCCCAGTTTTGCCTTGGTATTTGCAGGACAAGCTGTGGTGGGTTTTATCCAGGTCAAAGTACTATTGTCAGGCTGAAGCTGAAGAAAACAGCGTGCTGAGAGATGTGTCTCCTGGTCATAATGTATGACAGTTGCCCCTTGTAGCATGAACTGATGGACATCGGCTCTGATTGATAACACATACCAGGGAATAAGCTCTATTCCATGGCTGAATGCTTTCTGCTGCTCTTCAGTTGTATTAGTTTCCCACTCTTTCAGTTGCTCAAAAATGTCACTTTCTGAATCTGAGATATCTCCAATTATAAACCTGCACATGAAGTAGAATACAGTACTTACATTGTCAAGATCTTGTACAAATACTGTATATGTAGTGAAGCATCTCATGTGTGCTGATGTATTAATTGCTGATTAATACCTATTCTACTATAGTTTAGTTTCAAAAGAAGATGAACAGTACTGTACTGTTTGGGGACACTACTTTTTCTGTACTCAGAAGCTTTCACAGTATTATATATGTAATATATACATTATATCTATATATTATTTATTGTAAGTTTGCACAAACTAATCAATTAATATATATATTCTTATAACTGATCTAAGAGTAATACAGATAGGACATGAAAGTGTATGTTAACAATATTATTAATATTAATTATTTTTTCCAGGTTTATCCCCACACATTAAAGAAAACAATATATAAATAAGCATTAAAAGTAATTTATAATACATAACTTGTATTGGGACTTAAAGAAACAGGAATGCTTGTTTCTGAATGACTCTGAACTTGTGTTAGTTACTTAACCTCTTTGAGTCTTATTATCATTACAAATAGCAGCAAAAATATATCCCTTTCTCACAAGGGTGTTGTGAGATTAAATATTTAATATTTTTTTTCTAGAAGTGTAAAACACTATATAAATAACATGCATTTTCAACCTGAGAATTTGTAGGTACCAATATAAAAATGTTTATTTTTTTAGCACTTAGCAACTGCAGTGCTGCAAGCTTTAAATTAACAAATATGGTTTATGGAAACAGAATGCACATACACAAAAGCTCCTCCCTTCAGGAACTTCTTCAATCAACTTAAAACATCTACATGAGTGCTGACAGATGTTGGGGAAAAACTGAGCTATATAGACACGAGGCAAGCTGGGTCAAACTGACCTGATTCCTCTTCTGGGCATGCGCTGCGCTTGGTGCAGTGATGCGCCAAGCTGAAAGTTAAGTGCTGTTTTGGGTTTTTTTTCCACGTCTGGAAGCATTTGGTGGGTGTGTACAGATGTAATTAATACAATTTAGTGCATTTTAGTATAGCAGTAATAGATGTAAAAAAGCAACAAAAAAAAGATAAGCTCAGATCTTCAGCTAGTATAAATTGGGAATGGTTTCAATACACCTTACCCAATATCTGTATATTAAAGTATTTACCAACACCATACTAGATTAACACTTTCACATTAAAAAAACAAACCTCTATACATAAACTAAAAAATATTTTCCAGATTTAACAAGAGAGTGGCTCATAATAGACAAGACTAGCAGACCTTTATTCAGGCCTCAAGTCACATTTAATAGAATAGGAAGGGTTCCGATTTACAGGAAACAGCCACGTGAAATGCTGTCTTAGACACACATACACATTTCCTCTATGACAACAGCTAGCAGAAACAATATAGCTAGGAAGTTCTCAGAACAAACTTACAGAACTCAGTTTGACTCAGAACCTTTATTTACATGAGTTGTACTGAGTAGCATTAGGAATGAAAAAGGATAAAAGGAGAGGTTAGAACATAATGCAAGGAAGCAACACATGAAAAGGAAAAACTCTAATTGGGATAGTTTGAAGGTGCAGATGGGACTGAACTATAGAAATAATGCAGCAAAGTTCAGAACCTGGTCATGAACAGGTTTGTTAACAAGCCTTGGAAGAGTATTTCTATTTTATCAGACCCCTAAGGGGAAGAGGATTTTCTTCATGCAGAATCAATGTAATTCTAAGACTTGAAATTCCCATTCTTGCTGTGGAATTCACAAGGGAATGTGATCCTAGAAGCTGTAACACTTTCAAGGAACCATAATTAGAAGTGAATTTGTAATTTTCCTTCTCTAATGCTAGGCATATTTTACAGATCCTCATTGCTATATGTTGTTTTGCATGAGTTAATTAAATAAGAAGAAATCAAAATGAGATTCCAGTTGAATTTGTTCTGATTTAGTTGGATTTTGACAACATATCAATGTCACAAGTTTGAAATGCTCTGAAATATAGAAGGGGTGTACTTGATAGCCATGTTGGTCCGAGACAAAAAGACATACAAAAAACTAGAACTCTTGGTTCCAAAATGATACCTTTTATTAGACCAACTGGAAAATGGCAAGAAAACTGTCCTTTTCTGCAAGCTTTTGGAATCAAAGTCCCTTCGTCAGGCTCTGGGAAAAGTGTAGATGGTACAAGATGGTAAAAAGTCCCCATAGGTAGGAAATAAAACTCATTTTTGCACAGAGGGAGCTCCCTCAATAAAATGAAGTTTATTTCCTACCTATGGGGACTTCTTACCATCTTGTACCATCTACACTTTTCCCAGAGCCTGATGAAGGGACTTTGATCCCAAAAGCTTGCAGAAAAGGACAATTTTCTTGCCATTTTCCAGTTGGTCTAATAAAAGGTATCATTTTGGAACCAAGAGTTCTAGTTTTTTGTATGTCTGAAATATGGAATCATTTTATGGTGGAAAAATATCCATCAGAGGAGCAAACAAGGTATTATATTAGAACAGCAATTTTATGTCTTGATACTTATTTGAGCCTGCTTTATCACTTACAAAAGATGCTATAATAAAAATGAATCCTTAACATTTACTTGGCATGTCCAAAAATTCCTGGGGAGATGGAGATGGGATTTGTTGGGTTTGTGTGTGTGGGTGTGGGGTTTGTGGGGAGATGTGGGTATAGGGTTGGGAGTGGGTGGGGTTGGGGGGTGTGGGATTTGTGGCAGTG